CCAGGATGGTCAAGCTGGTTTTAGATGGTTATAGCTGGTTACTTTCCAGCCTGACCAGCTAAGACCAGGCTGGAAATGGTTGGAAACCAGCCTGGAAGTGGCCAAAACCCCTCTAAAACCAGGCTGGTCGAACAGCTAAAACCAGCCAACCAGCCTAGGCTGGTTTAAGCTGGATTTTTCAGCAGGGCAATTTAGCAATAGGTGGCATCGATGGTAAACAATATGGAAATCATGCATGTACAAATAAGCGATTGCTTTCACTAACTTGTACAGGTCTTGAGGTCGTCATTGAGCGAGTATCCTTCATTACAGCGACAGTGAAAGCCGTTAAGCACACTCACACACTCGTGCTCGCAGCTATCATTTCCAAATGAACAGTAGTCGATCACTGGAACAGGCAGATAGAAGTTAGAAAAGCTTTGGCCAAGGAAGAGGAACAAGTATACCACATCAAAGAAACATTCAAGCTGTGTAATGTCAGTACACACTTCTTTTCTTGTTTCATTAGCAATGTACATGTGTTTAGCTAACTAGCTTAAACTAGCCTTAAATAAGTAACACTTCCCTGCTGAAAAATCCAGCTTAAACCAGCCTAGGCTGGTCAAGCTGGTTTTAGCTGGTTGACCAGCCTGGTTTTAGAGGGGTTTTAGGCATGTCCAGGCTGGTTTCCAGCCATTTCCAGCCTGGTCTTAGCTGGTCTGGAAAATTACCAGCCATATCCAGCTAAAACCAGCTTGACCAGCCTGGTTTAAGCTGGATATAGCTGGTTTTGGCTGAACTCCCAGCTTGGCTAGGCTGGTCAAGCTGGTTTGAGCTGGTTATCTCCCAGCCTGACCAGCTAAGACCAGGCTGGAAATAGCTGGAAACCAGACTGGAAGTGGCCAAAACCCCTCTAAAACCAGCCTGGTCGACCAGCTAAAACCAGCCAACCAGCCTAGGCTGGTTTAAGCAGGATTTTTTAGCAGGGCACACTGCTGGCTTTGGTCCGAACCAGTTGAAACGAACCAAAATGCAGTCATCTGACAAAATCCACATCTCTCATTGGCCAGATGTTGTTGAACATAGTTCCTAAACTGCTTATTGATTGGTCAGAATTCACGTATGGGAAAATGCCAATGAACTCCCACAAGTAAACAAAACTGGCAGACACAAAATGTTGCTTTTTACTATGAAGGGACGACTGCGCTGACTGATTGTATCCCTGCTTTAGACAAACTCTACATTTCGAGAATGAGCCGCGGCTGGAAAACAGTGTTTAATGCATCGCTCGTCACTTCAGGAGGAGGCGTGAATTAATTTAGCTAAACTGCGACATGCTCATCTTGCGGAAATATTACCAACGATCCATCAGGTAATGTTTTCCTCTCCAGGGGCGGACTGGCCATCTGGCAATTCTGGCCAATGCCAGAAGGGCCGGACCAATTTTTAAATGTGGCCCGGTCAGTTTTTTTTAAATATGTATTGTTTTTAAGTGCAGACAGCTTTTATCTCTTGCTAGATGTGATATTATGATGATGATAATAAAAATAATAATAATAAATGTTAAGCATTTGGTCCAATCGGCAACTGCCGCCTGGTTTCAAGATGGGTCGACCCAATCCAAGGTTACCCGGACATAATCAAAACCTGGCTAGAATGTTACAGTATAGTATAGTATAGTATAGTATAGTATAGTATAGTGAATGTGTGTGTCTGTGGGTGGGGCTGTGTCGGTGGGGTAATGTGGGCTGAATTTTTATCCCAGTGCGTCCCTGCCCCTCTCTCTCTCTGTTGGTAAAGCGCTGTCAACAAATATTTTTCCTCCATATCCCATAATGCACATCGCATCAGCCTACAGCAGCTGGATTAGTCCAAAAAGGCGCAGTACTTTTTGCGGTTGGACCTGTTTTAGCACAGATCATATTCTCACCACAAACGAACCACTCCAGGGTTTGTTTGAAAGCGTACCGAGACCACCACTTCACGCAGGTCTCGGTACACCTATTTGGTCCGCCTTTGGTGCGCACTCGAGTACAACTGCTGCATTCTCACCTGCCCAAACCAACCGCACCAAGGGGGAAAACCAACTCTAGTGCAATTCAACCCAACTAAACAGGGAAGGTGTGAAAGCACCCTAAATAACACTTTTTACCCCAATGGTTGGGTTTATCCATAAAAATCCAGCATTTTTCAGAGTGTATGCTTTAGTAAGGATAGTTTTCGGCTTGTGATCTTAGAGTGTGTATTCGGGAGGAAGTGTGTCCTGGTGAGTCATGATCCGCTCGCGGCCGTTTTGCTGGAGTTTTTCCAGCTTCAGTATTAGATGTGACGTGAGCATCACGGAGGGCCTGAAGGCTCTGTTCAGCTCCTGGCCTGTCAGATGTGCTCATTACCAACACACCTACAGCCACCTCTCACCCTGCATTACTGTACACCATCTGCCTCCACACCTGCCCTTCATTCGCCCTTCACAAAAAGCAGGGATGCCCAGAAGTACGCCACGAACACAAATAAAATTATGATTGAAAGATTTTGCATCAATCTGACACACTTTTTTGATGGTTAAAGGTGCAGTATTTTAAGTGTGACACCCAGTGGTTGGACTAGGTATTGCACTCCTGGTTCAAAACAAACGCAGGTGCAGGTTGCCAGATTGAGGACATCAACAGCGATGTGCCTGACTATCAAGCCTAAAGGCTGATTTAATTAAGTCGTGTACTAAATTAAAGCATTGTCACGTGATAGACGAAATATTTTCCATAATAAAAGGAGTTTTTGTAAAGTAGCACATGACAACTAGACAGTAAAGTTCGTCGAGACAAACTTTAAGGCTGGCTTGACAAAGCCTGTTGGTAATAGTTTATTTAGTTTAAGAACAGTTTGAAAAAGTATAAATAGCATGTTACTAGAATGATTCTAGCATGAATTAGCATGTTATTAGCATGAATCTAGTCTGAATTAGCATGTTACTAGCATGATTCCAGCAAGAATTAGCATGTTATTAGCATGATTCTAGTATGAATTAGCATGTTATTAGCATGATTCTAGTATGAATTAGTTTGTTACTAGCATGATTCTAGCATGAATTAGCATGTTACTAGCATGATTCCAGTAGGAATTAGCATGCTATTAGCATGATTCTAGCAAGAATTAGCATGTTATTAGCATGATTCCAGTATGAATTAGCATGGTATTAGCATGATTCTAGTATGAATTAGCATGTTATTAGCATGATTCTAGTATGAATTAGTTTGTTACTAGCATGATTCTAGCATGAATTAGCATGTTATTAGCATGAATCTAGTCTGAATTAGCATGTTACTAGCATGATTCAGCATGTTATTAGCATGATTTTAGTATGAATTAGCATGTTACTAGCATTATTCTAGTATGAATTAGCATGTTATTAGCATGATTCTAGCATGAATTAGCATGTTATTAGCATGTTTCCAGTATGAATTAGCATGTCATTAGCATGATTAGCATATAAGTAGCATGTTGCAAGCATGATTGGCATGTCATTAGCATGTTAGAATTATTAGCATTTTATTGCACAGCTAATTACAGCCTATAGGAGAGTTGCTAGGGTGCAGTATGTGGTAGTTAGGGGTGTGGCTAGAAAGTTAAAAGCTCATCAGTTATTGGTAGTTTGGTAGTCGGAGTTAAATGAGCTCAGCCATTAGTCTGTAGGACAGTCTGATGCAGAGTTATGAGCTCATAAAGTTTAATCCCATGTTAAGTCAATGAGAGTCTTTTGAATGGAAGTCTACGGGACAGTCTCTAGGGTCCAAAAGTGGTTGCTAGGGCGTGGCTAGAAAGTTTAAAGGTGATCAGTTATTGGCAGCTTGATAGTCTGAGTTAAATGAGCTCAGTTAGAGTTCTGTGAGACAGTCTGACGCAGAGTTACAAGGTCACAAAGTTTGGTCCAATGTTAAGTCTACGGGATTTTTCCGACAGTCCCAGGATGTTTTTCGGAAAACCGTAAGTCGGATCAGTCTGAGGAGATATAGCAACCCGAGTCAGAATAGTTTGGAGGTCTGGTGTGAGTTTGGTGGTCATAGCTCGAAAGCTCTAGGAGGAGATAGATTAAAATTTTTAGTCTCAGAAGAAAAATAATAATAAGTTTAAATAGCATTTCAGTAGTCTGGCTTTGACAAGCCAGCCTAATAATCTTAATGTGTCTTAAGGAACTGCTGTTTTGTTGTTGCGTCAATATGGAGAGTGTCAAAATAAAAGTCTTTATGGCGATATCTAATCAATACATCCTCTCAATAGTCATCTGATGGATTTATTGATCCATACTACTGATGTATAGTCGCACCAGTACTGACCCTGTGCTTGAAGCGGTTTTGTTCACTGCCCTCTTTCCGGCTCAGATCGATGAAGTAGTGTGTGATGCGAGCCGACTCGTCCCGGTTCATTTCCCAGGTGATCCGGAAAGAGTCGCAGGTCACGTCGCTGATCTGGATGTTACAGGGTGTGGAGAGCAGCTCCATCTCAGCCATTACCTGCAGAAAACACAATGAGGGACGTGTGAATAAGAGGAAAAAACAACCCGCTGACGTCTAATCAAGCTGTGAATGGAGGATTCTTCAGTTGGAGAACACTGATATCACTCTACACATGTTTGTTAGTGAAGCCCTGTGTTTGATTTATCTGTCCTGCGACCTCTGACCCCTCAGTAAAGTGAATTCAAGCCATCTCTAATCTGTCCTTGTGCTCAGAGAAACGGCCATAACAGTGAATGAGGGTGTCTCTGTGTGTGTGTGTGTGTGTGTGTGTGTGTGTGTGTGTGTGTGTGATTTATGAGCTCCTTTCTCTCTCGTTCCCCTTTTCACTGCCCTCACATTACTCACAGCCACAGTGGAGAATAATAAATTGTATGCCCAGTATATTGAGTTTGGACACACTTCACTGTACCTGCAGCCAAAGGGATACGTGCACTTTGATATATTTGGAACAGCAACATTTGTATTTAGTGTATATTTTTAATTGAACTAATATGTGGTTCTTTAAAAAGGGACGTGATCAAGATTAATATTGGGTGATGCGGTGGCGCAGTGGGCAAAAGGTCACAACAAGAAGGTCACTGGTTCGAGCCTCGGTTGGGTCAGTTGGCATTTCTGTGTGGAGTTTGCATGTTCTCATCCTGTGTTGCCGTGGGCTTCCTCTGGGTGCTCCGGTTTCCCCCACAGTCCAAAGAGATGTGCTATAGGGGAATTGGTTAAGCTAATTTGTCTGTAGCATATGTGTGTGATTGAGTGTGTATGGATGTTTTTCAGTAATGGGTTGCAGCTGGAAGGGGCATCCGCTGCGTAAAACATATTTTGGATAAGTTGGCGGTTCATTCCACTGTGGCGACCCCAGATTAATAAAGGGACTAAGCCGAAAAGAAATTGAATGAATGAATAAATTAATTATAATATATAAATACACACACACACACACACACACACACACACACACACACACATATATATATATATATATATATATATATATATATATATATATATATATTCATATATATATTATGTATTAGAATTAAACATATGACGTTTTTTTTAGAGAATAATATGTCCAGTGCAATATATTAAAATGTATTTGTCTATGTTTAGTGCATATTAAAGTAGTCTGCATTCTGTTCATAATGCACTCCCACTCTTTCATGTCATATGTGCAACCAACATCAATATTACGCAGTAGCCTATAGATGCAATACCTCTTTGGGACAATATCCTTTTACTATCTTATTTTATTCTTAATTGTATATTCAAAATGCAAATGTAACAATTTAATTTGCATAATAACTTATTTTAAATTGGTATTGTGATAAATATTACTGTCTGGGCTTTCACTGCCTTTCTCTTTCATCATGTGTTCAATTCGTTTTCCTTGTGTTTTTTTATTATACATAACTTCCTTTGTAAACTAATTAGTTTTCTTTGCATATATGGATTTAGTTGTTACCAACATCTGGGGACAATTTCATGTCAACAGCACCTTCATAAATATGTTTTCTGAGGAAAATGGGGCACGTTCAATACTTATTTCCCCTGCTGTATTTAATCAATCATAAGTACAAAGTAAAAACGTGTGTTTACACATTAAGTACATTGTAACGAACAAATAATTTCAGTGTATGCACATATCAGTTAAAGCCATATTATTTAAAGTGTGACCTGTATTTCTTAGTTTATACACGTCTTATTTTTAAGTTTCCATATACTTGTAGGGGTCAAATACAGTTGAAGTCAGAATTATTAGCCCCTCTTTGAATTTCTTTTCTTTTTAAAATTATTTTTAAATGATGTTTAACAGAGCAAGGAAATATTCACAGTATGTCTGATAATATTTTTTCTTCTGGAGAAAGTCTTATTTGTTTTATTTCTGATAGAATAAAAGCAGTTGTTAATTTTTTAAACACCATTTTAAGGACAATATTATTAGCCCCTTTAAGCTATATATTTTTTCAGTGGTCATAAATACAAACCATAATTATACAATAGCTTGCCTAATTATCCTAACCTGCCTAGTTAACCTAATTAACCTAGTTAAGCCTTTAAATGTCACTTTAAGCTGTATAGAAGTGTCTTGAAGAATATCTAGTCAAATATTATTTTCTGTCATCATGACAAAGATAAAATAAATCAGTTATTAGAAATGAGTTATTAAAACTATTATGATTAGAAATGTGTTGAAGAAATCTGCTCTCTGTTAAACAGAAATTGGGGAAAGAAATAAACAGGGGGGCTAATAATTCTGACTTCAACTGTATGTGACACGATTGTGTCCTGTTCTGGGATAAATCCTTCATATGCTGAGACAGCGCAGTGCCAACAGTAGACTGGCATCGAAAAACGCTGTGTGTGTGTGTGTGTGTGTGTGTGTGTTTGCCAGAAAATGAGAATATGCTTTACAGCAAGTACTTCACACATGACTGCTCTGGCTCTGACAGATGGCATCCCTTGCGGAAAACAACTACAATTTAATTAAAGGAGCGCGCACTTCATATAGATATGATACACTTTGATAGAATAAACTGAAGTGTGAAGTGAACGCTGACAAAAAGAAACAGTTCACACACACAAAAAGACAACTCCGTCCAGTGCTTCCCACAGGTTTGAAATATACTTGCGGTGGTGGCCGATTAAAACACACCTTTGACCCACAGCACATAAATAATTAACTATATGTGACAAACCAAACATAATATGATTTTTAAAATTAAAAGTCAGATGAATCAGTATTACAGGTATATTTGGGGGAGAAATGGACGCCGTGTTCTCCGGACAAAAGAAGAAGAGGATCATCCGGACTGTTACCAGCAACAAATCCAAAAGCCAGGCTCTGCCATGGTATGGGGTTGTGTCAGAACTTGCTCTTCTGTGATGCTGCATTAATGCTGAAGAGTACAGAGAGATTTTGGAGTATAATATTCTGCCTTATTTTTCAGGGACTCCCATGCATATTTCAACAAGACAATGCAATACATTCTGCACACATTACAGAGTCCTCCTGCGAAGTAAGAGGATACAGAAACTAGACTGGACTGCCTGCAGCCCTGACCTGTCTCCAATAGAGAATGTGTGGCACATTTTGAAGTGCAAAATATGACAACGAAGACCCTGTACTGTTGCCCACCTTAAAATTTGTTTGCAGGAAGAATGGGACAAAATGACACCTGAAACACTTCATCACTTGCTGTCTTACAGCAACATTACAATGAGGTAAATGCTTTACTGTTTCAACGTATGTGTGTGTGAGTCTGTGTATATGTATGTGTATTTGTGTGTGGGAGTGTGTGTTTGGCCTGAAGTGATCATCTGTTTCGCCTCATGTCGGCATATAGTGTAGCACATTAAGTGAAGATGTCGAGCCTGTGAGTTTTCAGCTCCTCGTTCTGTGCGCGTGTTTGTCTGCAGAAATCACACAGCGCTGAACTGCAGCTCTCTAATACTGCCATGAAAACACACCACTGCTGCCTCTCATTCACTCACAATGTAGGACATCATAAACATCCCACAGGACCCCGCATCAAAGCTGCAAAACTCATACACACACACACACACACAGCACTGCTTCTGACTATTTTAGCAAAGCCTTTGAACATTTTGAACTGAGATTTACTGTAATGTGGCACCATAAAATGCCACAAACAAAAAAGACTAAGAAACAAAAATATTCAGCCTGATCTCATTAGAAAATGTAAGTATTTTACGTTTTGTCAGTTAAGTGGCTAATTCATACGAATTCGTACGAGTTCAGTCGTACAAAGTTGTACGATTTTAAAAAGGAGGCGTGGCACCCAACCACGCCCCTAATCCCAACCGTCATTGGGTGATGAGCAAATCGTACTAAATTGTACGAATTAGATTGAACGAATTCATACAAATTAGCCACTAAATCAAAATGTTTCGTATTGCCGTGAGATTGCGTTGGAATTTTATGTCAGTGCCGACAGTGTAGTCATCAAATGCGACGACATATAGCACCATGGTGCTCACGGTCTTCAGATTTCCCGCGACACCACCCCTTCATTTTTCGTGCGATATATCCCTCCCAGCCCCCACCCCCCTTCAGGTTTCATGCGACATATCCCTCCCAGCCCCCCCCTCACTCTTCAGTTCGAGCGCGACATATTTACCCCCCCCCTTATTCAGTTAGAGCACGACAACAACCCCCCCCCCCCCAGCTCTTCAAAAAATTTTATCCTGCACATGACCCTTTGAAGGTGTCTGCACGGGCCTGGCTCACGATGACCTGAGTCTGATTCCAGTTACGTCAACTGCTCTGTCCAAATTAAAGTTGAAACAATTGTTAAAAATAATTATAAGAATAAGAAATAAGAATATCATTAATCCTTTAGTCAAAAGACTTTTGCGTGAAAAATCAAAGTGCCATAATTTGTTTGCATTTTATTAGCAATATTTTACCTTAATATTTTATTAAAACAATTTTTTTCTAGATCTTATTGACATAATTTACCTAGACATTTTTATAATTTTTTATATATATATAAAAATTTATATCTGCACTGGTGGAAGGCTTGCGTTGACTCGAGGCTGCTGGCCGAGTGCCTTAGTGCCCCCCACCAGTGCCATTATACAGCCGTATCGCACTGCTACTTGTGTGATATTGCGTTTACACAACCGTTCAACTGCATATTCGTGTGTATAAAAAGAAAATCAAACACAGAGAGTCTTAAAACCCTTTTGTATTAGGAACTACTTTCTTCCACCATTCATTCACATCTGCAGCTGACGTCAGAACAGTAGAAACTGCTGCTACTTCAAAACGTTACTGTAGAGCTAGTGTTTGAATGATTTTCTAGTGTAATGTCTAAAGTGATGACAAAACAGTTTTTTTTTGCTCACGTTTTAAAATTGTAAGGCTGAACAGCATGAAATGCCATCAGTCTTCAGAGATTTTCCAGTATTTCTCTGTTGCAAAAAAATGCCTCTAAAGTGCATTAAGTTGTCCAACATCAGCAATATTTGTCAAACTGTAGAGTGTTCTCTACTTGTTGCTGTATGTGGGCGGAGTAATACACAAGGGTGAAGGGTGAAGAGGTGGAATGAGTGCGGTTACTGGCAGAATATCACTCAGCTATCAGCCAATCAGATTCAGAACTGTTGTATATATATATATATATATATATATATATATATATATATATATATATATATATATATATATTATAGTAAATGTTTTATTTATTATTCGTTCATTTTTCGTTCATCTCTTTATTCATCAGGGGTCGCAATGAACCGCCAACTATTCCAGCATATGTTTTACACAGCGGATGCCTTTCCAGCTGCAACCCAGTACTGGGAAACACCCATACACACTTATTCCCAAACACACTCATGCCCTACAGCCAAGTTAGTACATCTGTTCACCTATAGCGCATGTGTTTGGACTGTGGGGGAAACCGGAGCACCCAAGAGGGAGAACATGCAAACTCCACACAGAAATGACACCTGACCCAGCCAAGACTCCTTTTTGCTGTAAGGCCACGGTGCTAAACACTGAGCTACCAGGTCATCCCTTCATTAAGATATCACAATGCTAATTTGGGGGGGCCGGCATGTCGGAGTACCCACTCTGATCCCCCGGCTCTGCGTTGGTTGGAGAAATTCCAATTTCAACTAAGACAAAGCATTGCAATTGGCTTAAGATTGTCAATGAAAATTCGGGACATTGCAACCTGCAGAACCTGGCAGTTAAAAAAATTATAATTGATTCTGGGGTATCCCGGACAGGAGTCACAGAGCATGTTTGTTTAAACAGAGACAGAGAGATAGATATGCAACAACAACAAACTATTGTTACAGAAACCCAAAATCACATGCACATTTTAAAATTAGCATCTGACAATAGAAACACCTGAAGCAGCTCTATTTCTGCGCTCTGATGAAACCTCAGTGAGTGTATTCAGTGACCCACATGCACAAAAATAAACATCCAGCACACTTCACTGGGTCAAAACCGACACACATTTGCACATGATTAATGCTCAAACACTGGCACACACACACAGATCCTCACAGTATTAATGAGTTTGTCATGGTTCAGATTTCTCATCTTCAATTGATCTGCAATGCAGCTCTGCTGAGGTCGGTGGCAGTGAAACTATATAAAGAAACTCCACATTTCGCTGGCTGATTCTGGATCTGCGGGAGCATTTTGCATCTCCAAGAAAAACCCTTTAATATTTTTCAAAAACACACACACACTTTAATAAAACAGCTTTGAATAGTAACACAAATTATAATAGGCTCTCTCTAAAGATGATGTTTGTGTATGTGTACTTAGGGAGATTTTGTCTTGGACATATTCACTTAAAGACTCCCCATTATATCTAGTTTGACTGTCTCTGCCTTCCTAATTATACATTCAGCTTTAATTATCATGAATTACTTAAGTCTAATTTTCATATTTATTTCCAACCCAGGCTCATTCTGGATATGTACTGCTGTATATATTTCTAGAGAGCGCCAAATACATCCCAGGAGCTACATTTTTTGGGGAATTTTTGTCATCAACACCAGAGGCCGCTGTGTACCCATTATCAGATCTCAAATTTGTCTAGCGAGTTCTATTCATGGCTGCTGTTCACGCGTAAATCCACCAGAGGCCGTTGTCGACTGACTGGCTGAATGACCGATTGACCTTCCCTAAACCAAACCAATAGTGTTTTCAAAAGCATAGATTGACCAATCCAGAAAAAGAAATGCCCTTGCCTGATTTTTACCATGTTTTTAGATTTTGCCACATTCTCACCCTGTTGTTTCCTTGTTTATTTAAATTTTTGGCTTCTGTTTTTCTCTTTTTCTGCTTATGGAATTGTTTTTTGCTAGACTCGAACCCCATCATTGCATCCCATCAGCTCTTCTCTGTGTCTCAAGTCCGCAGACGTACATCGCCGGACACACCACTGGACAAATTGGTAACGGTGGGAAAGTTGTACATACGAAGGTAAGTGGTCAGCTGGTAAGCATGAAAAGAAATGCCGATTAATCTACTCTCATTCATTTGTGGAAAACGTTACTGCGATTTGCAAATGTATGAATTGTGTTGTAAATTTACGAATTCAATTTGTGTATTTACCAATTGCATTTTGAATTCACAAAATGGATTTGCACATTTATGAATTTTATTAATTGGATTTGCGCATTTATGTGTTGTGTTTCAAATTAACGAATTGGATTTGCCCATTTATGAATTGTGTTTTGAATTTATAAATTGGATTTGCGAATTTATGTTTCGTTTTAAAGTTACAAATTGAATTTGCCCATATATTAATTGCATTTTGAATTACCAAATTAAATTTGCACATTTATGAATTGCGTTTCGAATTTTACAAACTAGATTTGTGCATTTATGAATTGTGTTTTTAATTTTACGAATTGGATTTGCGCATTTATGCATTGCGTTTTAAATTTACGAATTGGATTTGCCCATATGTGAATTGTGTTTTGAATTTACGAATTCAATTTGTGTATTTATGAATTTCATTTTAAATTTACGAATTGGAATTGCCCATTTATGATTTGCATTTTGAATTTATTAATTAAAATTGCACATTTATGAATTACGTTTTGAATTTACAAATTTGATTTGTGTATTTACTAACTGCATTTTGAATTCAGGAATTTAATTTGCACATTTATGAATTGTGTTTTGAATTTACGAATTGGATTTGCCCATTCATGAATTGAGTTTTGAATTTACGAATTTGATTTGTGTATTTATGAATTGCATTTTAATTTACGAATTGGATTTGCGCATTTGTGAACTGCGTTTTTAATTTACAAATTGGATTTGCGCATTTATCATTTGGGTTTGCCAATTATGAATTGTGTTTTAAACTTTCGAATTCAATACCTGTATTTACCATTTGCGTTTTGAATTCACCAATTGGATTTGCGCATTTAAGAATCGTGTTTTGAATTTACGAATTGAATGTGGGCATTTATATATTGTTTCAAATTCCCGAATTGTTTTTGCACATTTATGAATTGTGTTTTTAATTTACAAAATGGATTTGCGCATTTATAAATTGCGTTTGGAATTTACTAATTAAATTTTGTAAATGTGAACTGTGAATGTATTATTTTTAATACTGATCTGGCTCTATACAAACTGACAAAAATGTCAAATAGTTACGTTCCTCGTGAGATCCGGCGCTGTGTTTCTCTCTCTGAATAGTAAAACTCTACAAGTCAGTCCCGACCTGAATCCATTGCGTTTGACAGAAAAACAGCTATCTGAGGAACAGTCTATTATACCACAACAACACATTCTGTAAGCCAAGAGATTTGGAGAACAAATGCATCCACACATTCATGCCCTCTATGACCAACAAAATAACAACAAGGATATGTATGCAGCTATTGAATGAAAATGACAACTGCATCACTGACAAAACATTGAGAAGCATCCTTTAAATATGATGAGCAATGCAAAAAAAAGTGCTTGTTCTATTAATAAAGCAAGTGGTGTATTGTTATGTAATATGTAGATGGATGTTATTGTGAAGTGGGCAATCTAAATTGTTTTATATTATAGTTGTGATTAATAAAAAACAATGCAATCTGTAGAAATTAATTCTTTACAAGAGGCAGGTGAATAATCCAAAGAAGTGCTCGGGTCACATTGTAAGCCGTTTGCATAGAGGAAATAAAACATATTCAAGCACTATCAATTGTTTTTGCATAGTGGCATTATTTGTATCATTATCACAAGGCATTCAGACATTTTACATGCAATTTTATTAATATATTAGTATTATTAATATATATTAATGTTAATATTAATATTATTAATGCAATTGTCATTGTTCATGCAATGATTGTAATATAATTTCTATTATTTCAACTTGTTCTCATTAAGGCAGGAAAACGTATTTTGGTATTTAATGTTAGCTCTACACGTGTTTGAATGGTAAAGCAGAGAGTCGTACCTCAGTGTTCAGCAGTGTCTCTGCTGGAGGAAAACAGTGTTCAGACGATGAGTGAATGAACGCGGCTCTGCGGCTCCGTCTTTTCTCTCCTTCACTGCTGCCAATTCCTTAAATGAGGAGGAAAACTGAGAGCCAAGGATTCTCGCTTCTCTCTCTCTCTCACTCTCTTTCTCTCTCTGTTTTCTACAGCTGGATGCCAAAGGGGAATGAACAGCCATGAGAAAGTGCAGCATCAACCAACCATAAAAGTGATATAAGCTGCCCACTCGTGCCTGATCCAGATCACACACACACGCGTGCGCACACACAGACAATCAAGGAAGACCACGACTCTTGCTCTGACAGACAAATAGGAGTTTCAATTTTACAACTAAACTGCAAATTAAGAGAGATTTCTTTGGGCACAAACAAGCTATGGAAGTGTAACTGCGATCAGTTACAACAAAGCTGATAAAAAAAATTATCAGTTATCAAGCATTGAATCAATACAACTTTAAAATCCTTTATTTTTTTATTGATTTTGACTTGGCTTTGTCTTGTCTTGTCTTGACTTGACTTGACTTGACTTGACTTGACTTGACTTGACTTGACTTGACTTGTGACTTGTGACTTGTGACTTGACTTGACTTGACTTGTGACTTGACTTGACTTGACTTGACTTGACTTGACTTGACATGACATGATTTGACTTGACTTGTGACTTGACTTGTGACTTGACTTGTGACTTGACTTGTGACTTGACTTGACTAGACTTGTGACTTTGACCTGACTTGGGTTGTCCTAATTTGACTTGACTTGACTTGACTTGACTTGACTTGTGACTTATGACTTGTGACTTGTAACTTTACTTGACTTGTTGTGACTTTGACTTGACTTTGCTTGTCTTGTCGTCTTGTCTTGTCTTGTCTTGACTTGCCTTGATTTGTCTTGTCTTGACTTGTGACTTTGACTTGACTTGACTTGTGACTTGTCTTGTCTTGTCTTGAAATGTCTTGTCTTGTCTTGCCTTGTCTTG